CTGCCACGTCCGAGATGGGCGGGGCCTGCTGGCGGTTTTTAGGGCCCCGCTCCGTGTCAGCTGGCGTTAGGGAAAACGAGGAGAGGAGGGCTCCGCAGTGCCCAGCACCGACTCTGGTCCTCGCCTGTTTACTCGCCCGCCATGGGCCTGCACTGTGCGAGCCCTCCGAGATGCAGAGCAGAAAGGCTGCCGGGTAGGGAGCCCAGCACGCAGACCGTGGCCACACAGGGTTAAGGGAACAGCCACTCTCGGACTGGAGTGGGTGGGGGCGCTCTTTGAGAGAGGAGGCTTGCGGAGGAGGTCCTCTGATGAAGGAATAGATGGGCTTTTTTAGGAGGGAAGGGGCAAAGAGAGAAGTGTTTTAGGCAAGGGAACCGCATGTGCAAAAGCTGGAAGACAACAGCTGGCTTGGGAGGCAGAGATATTCAGACTGAGGCAGGCACACACAGTGATGGAGAAGGGAAGTGACAGGCGTGAGACCCACAGTCATGAGTGGAGACAGGAGGAGGCAGAGTTGCTCTAGGGCATTTAGAGAAACAGGCATGCCAGGGTCTGGAACCACACACACACACACACAGAGCACCAGGATGGTTCTGTTCTTGAGCTATTTCTGCCAGAGCCTGCCAGAGGGCTTAATCTAAATTAGTGTAATAGTTCCAAAGAGTTCTCATTAACACAACTTCTAATAAGCTTGGAGAGCTTATTAGCAACTCAGAATCCTAGGTCTTACCATAGATACACTGGTCCTTAATTTCAAGGTGTACTTTGTCACCGTCCTTGGTCTGGTTTGGGGAACACTGGTTGAAGGCAACCGTGGTCCTAATAGTTGAGACCTTTGTGAAGAAGTGTGCTGGTCATCGACTTATTGTCTCTCTGCATCATCCTTTTGCCTATTCTGTAAAAATGGATCGAGACGTTTTTCCTTTTGTCTGTTGGCAGGGTGTCAAACTTTGTCACTAAGGCTCTGAAGGGGCAAAGAGGAGGAGAAGTTTTCTTTTCTGGTCCCACCAGCCTCCTGCTGTCTGTGTGGCTGCCACACTCCTGACTTCTGAGGATGGCTTCCGTAGCACCAGGCTTCTGCTGTGTACAGGGACCAGCAGCAGCCAGCAGGTCCCCCAGTACCCTGGCTCCCTTGGGTGGTTTTACACCAGATGCCACCAGTGAGATGCCTCTTTCTGAACAGCTTTCTCCAGCATTCTAGAGGGTGGGTTTCTAGCCGGAGGGTGGATCTCTAGAAAGTTCCACCAGGATGGCACTACAGCCTCTTGTCTGCCATTCAGTGGGCCATAGCTCTGCCATCTCCAAAAGTGCATGGATCTCAGCCTAGGTACTGGGGTACAGTGTGAAGATTATGGGGTCTCTTCCTTGGGTACTCTATCTTAGCCTTATGGGCAGTGACTGCTCTTTTTATCTGCTGCTCATATATTCCTTTTTTGGGGGAGAGAAGAATTATATTTTTTTGGAGAGGTTTTTGCTATA